TGCCGACGTACACGGTGAGCTGAGTGGACAAACGGGTTGCAGCGGGAAAGCCCTTCACAAGGAGGTAAGCGGTCGGCCTGCCGGCCGGCAAGCACAAAAGGGAACAGCGTCACACCGCCCCGCAGCGTTCGCTTGTAAAAACTAAATGCAGCCGTACATACCTCCCGGGACGTATTCCGCTGTACGTTTTCTGAATAAGCTTGGGTTGTGAACAACACTTCTGTTAAGATATAACCCATTTGTAACAACAACATCTAACGTTTCATCAGCTTTGCGTGAAGCTAAAACAGTTAAAAACAAAACATCACCTTTCTAAGAGAAATCCTTCAGCCATTGTGTCATCCTTTCTCCAGCGTGCAAAGGTAACTCCAAGGTTTTTGTAAAGTTTTGATTCAGCATGTTTTTGCCGATCAGACGCGCTCGTGCTCTCTCTCTCTCTCTCTCGTGAATGTGCAGCACGTCTATGTACAAAACGGTTGCGCAGTTGTTCAAATCTGGGGTCCGTTCTTCGTACGTGGATTACTCAGTTAGCTGGATTTGGTTATTGACTATTTGACGTGATACAGGTTCATTTCGTTCTTCAAAACTGATCTGAGAGTTCTTGTCATAGCAACAATTCTGCTAGCTCAAACCTGGTCTTAAGCAGGTTTAATTCATATAAACAGGATTAGATCGGCTCAGTTCAAGCAAAGATAATACAGAAAGTATGTACCAAATTCTGATATTTTCTTACAGTAGTAGTTATATACACTTCGGAAAATACTACTTTAAATTTTATATATAATATATAAAGATTTAATAATATATAAATTTAATAATATATAAAGTTATAGTTATTAATAAAATAAATGAAGTTATAATTTAATAAAACTTATGCAATCTACACCCCTGTTATGAAAGTACGAAGACTGCCACCTGGTGGTGCAAAGAGAAAACGTATCGATATGAACTTTTTAGATCGATTTAGTACAATTCATGTATGATAATAGAAATGCACAATATGTGACTTTTTAAAAGCGATAATACTTTTATGCAGTCACTAACATGTTTTGACAGTTAATATGACTGTCATTTGATGCTTCATAAAAGTTGCAGACGCCTTTACCAATATCAAAATGCTTTTGTAAACATCCAGTTATTCTTTACACCAATTAAAAAATAATAATAAAACAGCTACAAAAATACTACTATGGCTACTATAATAAGGAAAATCCGCTCTAACTGTAAAACTAAATAAACTGCTCTTGACACATAAAAGGGTAATCATGCAGCTCACGACAAGGTGTAAAGTTATTGCGTGCAATATTCAACAAACCAATGAATTTGATGTAATTTTGCTCACATGGATAATTGAATATTAATCAGATGATGTCATCACGCTGCTGTGCTGTCAGCCAATCGTTGCATTGCTGATCATGATTTCGAGGATCGATAGATCAGTCCTTCACAACACACTCAGCGATCTCAGATCAGTTCATCCAGACATTTTAATCCGATTCACGAACTTGTTTGAAGAACCAAATTAGCCAGAGATCACTTATCAAGATTAAAAGATCCAGAATCTGTCAAATCATCTTAGATAATTTAAGCAAGCTACGAAGAACAGACCACTGCATTTGCTGACAGACAGTTTGACGCACTTATCGGAATTATGAGACTCTATTTAATTGAATGAAGATTTTTTAGTATTATGCCTTACCCAAAATATAAACATACATATAAATACATTTAGATTATTCACTTTAATCATTACTATTGGAATTTGAAGAGACTTTCAACCAGCACAGCAACAAATGTTTCTGAAGACAATCACCTACTGCACCTTTAATGTTATTTTTAACTATGGAAGTAGACTGAAAAATAAAAAAAATAATAAAAACACACACACACACACCTGCTGGTAGTTTACAGTAACAAAAAAAAAAACTATATTTGTCATTTCAGTCCATGTATTTTTACAGCAACATACAATAAAACGGCACCTATGGTGAAGCACTGTAAAATAACAGTACACTGCTGCCAGCTGCTTTCTATGCTTGTATGCTTTTTTATGCTATAATGTTTTTTCTCTTATGACTTTTTCTCTTTCCATCATAATTATATACTCAACAAATGGTCTCACTTTGCTGTTTCTGATATTTCTGTCTTTTTTTCCTCCTCCCCCACACATCAACAATCAACCTGTGTCCTGTCAGCTACATTAACTACAGTAATTGAGTGTGTTGGAAGCTGCAGTCTTTCATTTTGTTCAGTGGAAATGAGAGTTAACCACTGCTGCTCTTCTTTGGGTGCAAGATTTGCGCAATCAGATAATGACTGCATCTTCAACAGGCATTTATTTGATGCAGTAGATGTCTAATGCTTGTGAAGCTTGCGGATTAAGCCATGACTCACAAATGGTTAAAACAGCATGTAGCTGAAATCAATGGAATTAGTCATTCAGCTAAGAGGTGGATGATGAGAGGCAAAAAAAAAAAAAAAAAAAAAAAAAACTGAACTGAACTGAAAAATATAAATGAACTGAAAGCTTAGAGCTGGAATTTAGTATAATGCAACACCAGACAAAGACCACCGTGAGCTTTTAAAACTGTCAATAGGTGATCAGTTGCAATGAAGGAAACCTTCACACCAGAGCTAATTTTGTGTCAGGGAATACCACAAATATGTTTGATGATGTCAAGGGCATAGGTAAATCAAACACGGGTATATATATATATATATATATATATATATATATATATATATATGAGCAATATCACACTCGTAGCAGTATGATATGGCTGTATATTAGCTGTCATGGTCCTGACCTGACAGTCTTGTCTGTCCTGTCAGTGTTTATTGTTTGCCCTGTGCTTATTTACATTGCTAAGTCTTAATTTGTGTTGGCCATGTGCTCCTCTTGTCTTTCCTCCTTGCTTACAGTTACCCCGCCCTCTTATTTAGACCTTGGTATCCTGATTGTTGTCACCTGTCTCTCATGTGCTTTGTTCTATATAATGTGCTGTGTGTTCTCATTTCTTTGCTGATTTGTTCCATGTGAGCTTGTCTTGTATCCTTGCCTTGCATTTGTACTAAGCTTTTGGTCTGGCCTTTTCTAGTTACCTTGTCTATTTATTGTTTGTTTGTAGCTATTACTTTCTTTCGTTGTTTCTAGTGTTTACTTAATTTTGTGTTCTAATCTTTATTTTACTTTTACCCTTAGAGCCATTGTTCTATTTTTCTGTCAGTCTTAGTCTTCTTAGTAGATAATTATTAGTAGTTGTTTGATTTGTTTAATTACTCTCTTTAAGATTCTAAAAGTCTTTATTTCAGTTTTGTTTTATCAGATTGCTAAAGTCTGTCTTTCTGTCTTCTAGTATTTAGATTTTTATTTTATTTCAGTTTTAGTTTATTTTATTGTATATTATTACTGTCTGTTTGTCCTGCCTTGTGTCTTATAATTTTTCTAGTACTATTCCGTGTCCTGGTCTGACAGTCTGGAGTCTGCTCCAGGATCTAGATCTGGTTTTGACCACTGTTGCTCCTACTCCTGGCTGGCTGTTCATTTTAGTACCATCTTGTCACTACCACTGGCTTCCTTGTGTTGTTGCCCCTACTGTTTGGACCTTATCATCCCCCTGTGTCTACTTGTGCCTTATTCTGTCAATAAACCCCTTTGTATTGTTCATTGCTGCAACTGGGTCTGTTTTCTTGCATTCAAACTTGACAATTAGCACTGGTGGGAGGTGTGCGTTGGCACCAGTCCCACCAGTGCTGATATACAGGCATATCTCATTGCTACGAGTGTGATATTGTGTTTATACAACAGTTCAACATCACAATCCTGTACATAGATAAGAAAATCAAACACAGAGAGTCTAAAAACCCATTATTTTATTAGAAACTACTTTCTTCCGCCATTCATTCACATCTGCAACTGACGTCAAAACAGCGGAAGCCGTTACTAATTCACCAACGTCACTTTAGAGCTAGTGTTTGAATTATTATCTGTCTAAAGTGATGACAAAACTGCTGATTTTGCTTACACTTTAAGATTACAAGGTTGAAAGTGACATGAAATGCCATCTATCTACAGAGATATCTTCTTACAGTGTTACAGTCTACAGTATTTCTCTGTTGCAATCGGGATTTCACAATAATTAACCCCGAACATAACAACGAATCCACTAATGTTACCAGACTGCTGTTGTGTTTGCGATAAGGAAAAATGCTAAACACTTGCAGACGTTGGCAACACACCACGCATTCCTGATATGCGAGCAAATTGGAGAGAATATTTTATTCTTATTTTTTAGGGCTATGACTGAAATGAGCTGTGGTTTTGTGTATTTTCTTCAGTAATTCTTCTTGTTAACACCTAGTGTTCCTTATTAATGCTCAATCAACACTTACTTAATCACTTGAATATCTCATTACTTCCCCTTAAATGGAGTAAAATCACAGTACTTAATAGGATTCTGTTTAAAACTGAAATGGTTTGTTGCAGTTTCCTCAAATGGGTTGAGTTACTTTAACTTATTTGGTTTTACAGTCAAGAGAAAAGCTATAATGGCTATGTGCTTATACCGCAATTTCCAGCTGCTTTTTACAGGTGTAATTTTACCAGGTTTCTGGAACCAGGCCCTTTTTTGGACTTGCATGTGGCAAGACACTGAGCAAATCAGTCAAAGCAGAAAAGGAGCCCATATGTACGCAAGTGGTCAGCGGTACCGCTCCGTAGCATTTGTTTTACACACAAAATGTAGCCATTATGTACCCCTGGGCATGTATTTCTCGGTTCTCAAAAATGTAGCCCATGGCACATATTCCCAATGAGCCTGAAATTTTGAGTAACAAGTGGTAGCACCAACCATCAAGAAGGCTACTTCATACACACATCAAACAAAATAGATACATTCATATATGCATAATAAACATGTCTTTACACAGTTAAACATGTTACTATATAGTATTATCGCAAGATCTGTGAATTCAAGCTATGACGGGATAAAGGATCCTACCTGAATTGTGGGTGGTGATCGCTGTTTGCGAGTAGTGGTGGTTGACAAAGTGGTGGTGGTCTCAATGAAGGTGGTAGACATCTCCGGGGGCATGGATGTGGTTGTGCGTGAAGGGCTTCTGCTGGTAGGTACATCCCCAACCAGTCTCACGCTGCCATTTATTTTGATGTTAGCATGACCTTCGGCAGCCATGTTGAGAACCTTCAGGCCATTATAATAGAGACCAGACAGCTGGCCTTGGTATGGCCTCTTGCGGTCATTACCGCCTATTGAGATGGTGGCTTGGGTGTTAAAAATTGTCAGCTGACGACCTGAGGGGAAGACAAGTGAAGGGGAATACAGTCAAAGCAGTTTATGTGCTTTTTATTTATCGTTGGCTAATCGATCAATTTATGATTACTGTTTATTACTATCATTACTGTATTCTTAAAGTACAAGCATAGCTTTAATAAATACATAAAGTAGTGCTGACTTCACTGTGACGTGCTTCTCATGCAGATGTTTTGAAGTTTTCATATTGTCAGAAAAAGAAATGCATTCTGATTACAGCTCCGACATATTTACAGTTTAATATTACACCGGGCAAGGAAGAAAGCTCATCTCATACATTTCAAAGGACTATCATGTTGATTCATGCATGTAGAAGCACTAATGGGATTTCAAAGTGGCTTTAGACAGTGTTAAAGGGACTTTATAATCATCTTATGCAGTTTAGGCAAAGATCTTTAAACGCATTTAAAAATCCAAAGGACTTTAATGCTAAATCTGATAAATAGTCACCTCGCTGTTTCATCCTGTTTGTGAAGAGGTGTCTATCAATTTCATCATCGGCTGCATTAGTCATTTTTTAGTAAATTAGAAGCACATGCTAAACAGAATCCCAAAAAAGCATTAGCAATCGAGTCAGCAGAGAACCTTTGTTACTAAATGCCAATTTGTTGTCTTTAAATACATGTTAAATTAGGTGTTGAATTTTTTTTTTTTACTTTGGAAGATAATTTAAAATGTAATAAATTAAACACCCTAACTTGTGTCGAGTTTTGGTTTAGCTTCAAAGTTAGAGTTGCGTAGCAGTTATGCAGTTTTATTATTGTTTACCAGTCCCTTTAACTGGTCAATGATTTGATGGATATAACAAAAAAAGGATCACAATCCACATAAAAAAAAAGATAAATAAAATATTAAACGCAAATATTACATAATGGGAAGGGAAGTAAATTATGAACATTTTAGGTTAATTAGTGTCAAAACGCCAAGGCAAGACTGTTCAGATGTAACTGAAATAAATAAATATATTGAAACAGCATGACAAGGAGCAAATGAACGCAATTTAAAACGAAAAAAAAAACAAAACAAAAACACTGAGGGTCTTGTGAGGGTTACCTTTCTCATGTAGCCAATCTTCGACCGGCCGGGTATATTTGAACGGGATTTTCTTATTAGCCATTTGAAAACGCTCAATGTCGCTGTTGCCTTTAAAGTTCGAAAGACATCTTAGCACATTGTACATTTATACACTGTTTAAGAAGGTTTAGATGTGTTTAAAGGATTTAGGTCTTGTTATCATAGGCAGTTTAGGTTTCATTAAGGTTAACTTCTGGTGTGATATTATAAAGCATTTTAATCAAAGAGTAACCAACTCAACTATCAGTTTAACACATATAACACATATTCAGACTTTGTGACAACATAAAAAAGTAAGTAAGTTAGAGATACGACTAGCTAACTTCAAACATATACCTACCAAGCTACAAAACATCTCTTAAATAGGGAGTAACTCTTGTCGGTAACACTTTATTCTGATGGTCCATTTGAGTATTAGTAGACTGTCTGATTAATATCTGTTGATACTGCTCCTTCAACAGACGTTTAACTGACTATAAGAAACTTTGCAAATGCAGTCAACTTACACAAACCCCAACCTAACAGTCTACTTGTAATCTAATGAGAATCAGTTGGCATGTAGATGCAATGTAACTTGAATTCAACAAACGGACCATCAAAATAAAGTGTGACCCTCTTTTCCCACTGGACATCACATGCTTTTAGATTTCAAGGAGCCAAGGAACACTTTACACACGACTTGTAAGGGAAAAAAAATAAAGGGAATGGATGAGAAAGAGAGAGATATAAAGGTAAAAATGTAGATGCTCTAAACCTGAAGGAAATAGGACTTGTAATGACAGATTCAAGGAAGACACTGCATACAGATGAGATTGTTACAGAGAAGTGTGAGTTCTGTTGCTGTGGTGTCCCAGAAGTCCGTCACTTGAATATTCTGCCATTATATAGATTTACTTTTCTTTTTCTTTTTGAATTTCTTGGCATTTCTTGGTGTTATGGAATCTAACATCAATTATCTTGGATTTGCTTATATGTAAATACGTATGCTAAACTATTCCCAGATAGCAGATCTTCATTGAATTATTGGTAAAACTTTAAAATAAGGTTCATTAGTTAATGCATTTACTAACATGAACTAATCATGAACAACACATGTACAGCATTTATTAATCATAATTGAACATTTACTAATGCATTATTAACATTTAAGTCCTTGCTTGTTAACATTAGTTAATGCATCATGAGTTAACATGAACTAACAATCAACTACTGTATTTTCATTATCTAACGTTAACTAACACGAACAAATACTGTAGTAAATGTATTGTTCATTGTTTGGTCATGTTACTAAATGCATTACTTAACATTAACTAATGAACCTTATTGTAAAGTGTGACCGAATTATCATTGAATCAACAGTTGAAAAGTTGAAACCTCAACATGGGTTGTTTTATTGAAAATGTGAGTTTTCAGAAGTCACCCCTGTAGTGAAGTAGGGTTGCTTTTTTTTGGGGTCTCAGCACTCTGAAGGGTCACAAAACACCAAAACACATTTTTCGAGCTGTTGACAGTCATATATGTTTCCCACGCTTCTAAAAACACTATTAGGACACATATATTTCACTAAAAAGTGAAAATAGGTTGTTTTTGCGTTATTTCCAGCTAATTCGTTTTTCCATTTTGAAATGCAACTCTCTGCTAGCGGGGCTCCCAGCTAACTCCATCAAGCCTCTTCAGCTGCTCCAGAACGCAGCAGCACGAGTGGTCTTTAATGAACCTAAAAGAGCACATGTCACTCCGCTACTCATCCGTTTGCACTGGCTGCCAGTTGCTGCTCGCATCAAATTCAAAGCTCTGATGTTTGCTTACAAAGCGATTTCTGGCTGCGCCCCTTCTTATTTGCTCTCACTTCTGCAGATCTATGTGCCCTCCAGAAACTTACATTCTGTGAATGAACGTCGCCTCGTGGTTCCATCCCAAAGAAGGAAGAAATCACTTTCCCGAATGCTTGCGCTCAATCTGCCCTGTTGGTGGAATAAACTCCCAAACTGCATCAGAGCGGCAGAGTCACTTGCTGTTTTCAAGAAACGACTAAAAACTCAACTCTTTAGTCTCCGCTTCACTTGGTAATCTGCAATTGCCTCTAGATATACCACTAACTGTACCCAAAAAAAAATTAAAAATTTAAAAATTTAAAAAATAAAAAATTTACTAATACTTTCCTTCTTAGACTTTACAGACCTGAAACTTGCCTATAGCACTTATTTATTGTTGCTCTTATAGTTGTATAATTTGCTTCCTTGTCCTCATTTGTAAGCCGCTTTGGATAAAAGCGTCTGCTAAATGACTAAATGTAAATGTAAATGCATTTTTTAAGCTGCGTTAGATACGTTAGAACCTTATGTGTATTCCAGCATGGAGACTGGCTGTCTGTACCTGGGAGTACTTCGTGATGTCTCTGTGTGCTGCGTTCATTCACGAGAAAGACTTGGTTCAAACCAATCAGCGCACTCTATTGTGTATGCGATGCAGCTTCATTAATATGCATGATAGCTTCAAAGACGGTTTTTACCTGTTACAGTGTTCAAAGAAACGCCACGTTGTGTTGCCAAAACGAAGGGAAGAAGAAGCAATGCTTGGAGACACGGGTTGTCAGTGTTGCTTTTATAATTTGCTGCAGTGAAAGTTTTGTTTTCATTTCCCGCTATGAGAGCGCTGCTTGACTCACGTGTGGATTACAGTGCTCGTGACATTCGACAGAAATACGTGTCTAAGGAATTTTTTTTTACCCGAGAGCTTTTCGCATCTGAAAATGGTGACATTCAGAATTGCCGCTCTCTCTTTTTAATAAAGACGTGGCTCCAGTTGGTGTTGATTGTCCTGTCTCTACAGATTTGGTAAGTAGGCGATCAGTGGTCTTTGTTTATTTATTTAGTCTGGCTGGAGAAAAAGCAGTTTATAAAGGCCTAATAGGCATGTCAATTATAATAAGACCCTTAAGAATTTCTTTATGTCAAACAAACATTTGTCATGACTTGTCACTCAAAAACATCTTGCTATAGCTACTTAATTTATAATGTAGCCAAATGAGATTTCTTGAAATCTTTCTTGCAGTATAAGCTGTTTATTTTGTAATTATTTTAGCATTTGTTAAAAAGATTTATATTTTGAAAACACCATTTTAAGTAATGAGCTGTTCATCTTCTGTGATTGTGACCATCTTTTTGTGAAAACAGTGATGTTTCCAACCCGGGCTCAATGTGGAAACGTAGCCCCGCGGGCGTTTCTGCGGACCGCGATTTACGTCCCGGGAGGTACGTATTCGAGCGGTTTTTGTTTTCGCGGATCCATTTCGCGCCGTTCTCGTGCGAAAAGCCGCCGGATCGGCCGACTCGGCCACCCTCCTCTTCCTCCTCCTCCTCCTCCTTTCCTAAACCCGAGCGACGGTTCGCAAAAGCTGTCCAGAAAAAAAACAAAAAGCAAAAGCCCTCGTCTTCGATTTCGACCGCGTTTTCGGATCCCGCCGCGTTCTCGCCCTTATATTTTGGATTCCGTTTTTCGTCTTACCTGATTTCCGGAACCGCTGTTCCCCGGACTCGATCCCGGTCGTCGTCCACCACGGCCAGCTCCTCCTCCTCCTCCGGGGCCTCCGCTCCGATGACGAAACGCTGTGAGCTAAGCGGACAAACTGGTTGCATCGGGAAAGCCCTCCACTCGGAGGCGAGCCGTCGGCCGGCGAGCGCGAAGAGGAAGAGCGGAGCGGCGCCACACCGCCCCGCAGCATTCGCTCGAAAAAAAACTAAATGCGGCCTTACGTACCTCCGGCCATGTAAATCGCGGTCTCCAGAAACGTCCGCGGGGCTACGTTTCCAGAATGAGCTTGGGTTGGATGTTTCAATGGCACTATCACATAAAAAATATTATAGTAATTTATAGGAATAGTGTTATATTAATAGAACCATAATATTTAAAAAAATTGTCTATTTAAATTCTATAGTTGCTCGTATCACAACAGCTATAAACAAAACTCAATACTGAAATAACATGTTTAAAAACACTATAATATTTACTATAAATCACAATAGTATTTTTTCATGAGGTCATTTGTCCTCGATAAAAACCGCAAATGTGATCCCCGCCATTGGTGACGTTTCCAGGCGGCAAAACTGCGAGATTCAGGAAGTGTCTGGCTTCTGATGTATATTTTGAGCCCTCGTCTTACTGCAGCTGCCTGCTCTCGTCTACAATGCAGTCAAGGCGAGGCGCATCTCAAACAAGAACAAAGTTACTCAACACCTCTCGCTTAGCTAAACAAACAAATGACTGCTGATTCACCAGTGTGCATTTTCAGAACTTTGTGCACGGTGCACAGAATAGGACTGCTATTCAGAAACACAAAGCCCTGCTTTTCTTCCTTTTCCTTTTTAAATAGGCAGAAAAGGGGCTTCAAAGTGGGCTGGTAGCTGCTTGCTGAGCAGTGGGATGTGGGCGAGGTAAAAGGGTGAGGATAGAGGGTAATAAGTAGCTTCCAGGGCTGCCGATGCCTTTGATCCAGACGAGCAGCGCTCACAAGCCTGGGGCTTGAGTGGTTTTCCTGGATGGAGGCCTGCATGCTAGAGAGATCCAGCAGAGCTTGAGGGTTTAGAAATTCGTTTTAGAGATCAGACGTTTTGGCAACATTCACTATCTTTCATGTTATTGTGAATACATATTATGATGATCTTTGCAGAGCAGTCTTTCTCTAAACTTTGTTTTGAGATCAAAACTGGGTCAAAATGGGTATTCTCTGGCTGCACCTGACATAAGCCTGATTAGTAAATCTCGTTCAAATATTTCCTGATCACATTTGAGCCCAAATTCAAAAAATAAGCAAAGAAGGTTGCTGCCGCAGTAAATGTTTTATCGAAAAGCTCCACCTGAGAATCGAAATGCATTAATGCAGTAATTTGATATGATTTTAAATTATCGTAGTTTTTGGACAATAAAGTATTTATACAACTAATAGATGCAACCCAAGCTCACTCTGGAAACGTAGCCCTGCGGACGTTTCTGGAGACTACGTGGCCGAAGGTACTTATGGTCGCGTTTTGTTTTATTCGAGCGAACGCTATGGGGCGGTGTGACGCTCC